AAAATCTCTGTCCCAGCTGTTACTTTTTAAATCTTACCTTTGTTAGGAAGATCAGAGTTCTACATGCTTGTGATGTTCGTATCCCATTCACTGTTCTTCAGTAAACTAGAGGCAGAAGGAGCAGGAGACACAGGACCTGGCCAGAAAGACAGCTGGCCTTCAAGTAAGCCCTGCAGTTAGTGTGACATCATGCTTGGAGAGTACATAGTCACAACAATGTAAAGTCTGGACATTTCATTCCATAAAATAGAATGTGTTCTGAGTACCTGAGCACAAGTTTTAGAGACAGAAAAGGGCTTGAAGAAAGTAGCCACAGGGTAGCCGGGTGTTGGTGGTGCACACTTTTAATCCTAGCATTCAAGAGGCAGAGGCAGGCAAGCAGATCTCTGTGAGTTTAAGGCCAGTCTGGTCTATAGAGAGAGTTCCAGGACAGCCAAGGCTACACAGAGGAACTCTGTCTCAAGGGGGGTAGGGAGGTAGTGACAAGGTTGATTTCTTTGAAAGATGGGGCAGGAGATGGAAGAACAGAAAAATCAGATTTGTATCAGGATTGCTTTTTTACCCAGGGGGTGTAGGGACTGATGTGGAAGAAACTATAATCCTGCCAGTTATAACTGACCGACTTGGGTAGTTTGGCTCTTATCTCAGATCCTGATTCTTCAGAAAGTCAGAGAAATGGCTCAGTTTCAACTTTGCTGGGTTGAACTTTAGCTTGCTTGACTCCATTTCGACTTTCAGCCTTGTGTATTAGGTCCCAGGAGAGAAGCTTAGGCCTTAAATAGCAGCCTGTTTAACATGCTAACACTCCCAAAATTTCCCTGTGAGAACTTATAGCAGGGAAGGAGATGGAATTCAGTTGGTAGAGTAGCTGTCCAGCAGGTGTGAGGCCCTGGCTCCGCCACATCCAATGGGGTGAAGTACACTCAGGAGTCAGAGACTAGAGGACTCGGAGTCGAGGGCATTCCTACCTCCAGAAGGGGTGGAAGGCCAGCTTAGACTGTGAGACCCTGCTTCAAAAACAATTACAGTGGGCCAGAGTGATGGCTAAATGGTTTAAGAGTACTTGCTGCTCTTGCAGACACCCTACGTTTGGTTCCCAGGACCCACATGGGACCCTCAATCATTCTTAACTCTAGTTCCTGGGGATCTGATGCTGGCTTTTGGCTGCACCGGCACCAGGTTTGCACATATATACATGTCTTGGGGTCTCTATTGATTCAAAGAAATACCATGACACCAGCAATTCTTACAAAGGAAAATTCAATTGGGGGTTGGCTTACAGCTCAGAGGTTTAGTCCATGTCACCATGGCATGCAGGTAGACATGGAGCTGGAGAAGTAGCTGAGATTTCTACATCTGGATTCGAAGGAAGCAGGAAGAGACTGACGCTGGGCCTGGCTTGAACATTTGAAACCTCAGAGCCCACACAGTGACACTCTTCCTCCAACAAGGCCATGCTAACATCTAATAGTGCCACTTTTTATGAGCCCATGGGGGCCCTTTTCACTCAAACCACCCCAATTCATGCAAGCAAAATACTCATACACATTAAATAAGTTTTAAAAATAAATATTTTTAAATTAAAATTATTTTTAAGGTCGAGCCATCTCTCTAGCCTGTTTTAAAAACTTAGCAAAATTAAAAACCAATTATAAAATTTATGACCCATGTAATAGAAGATGTCAGCCATTATTGAGATAGTCTAGAACAAGTTCTCCCTAGGCTCGCTGTTTCACTGTGCTGAGCTTTCCCGGCTCCTGTGTGCTTTCATCTCAGCTTCTGAACCACTAATAAAAAATTCTGTAGAAATGTTCCTTTTTTTTTTTTTTAAACCCTGTAAACAGAGTTTGAAAGAAAAGTAGGTTTCTGGGCAGCGTTTTCTGAAAATGAGAGGCGAAACACCAGGGGCGGAACTGGAGGTGTGGCTAGCTGGTGGGTGGGGTTTGTTGGCCTCTGCACCTTCTCCGTTGATTTTTACCATATAATTGACTCAAACGGCATGACCACCCCCAAGAAGTTTCCAAATGCCTTTTCTACAAAGATAGATGTTTTAGAAATTCTCAAATAAAAATAGTAAAGGCTTCACATCATCCAGGTTACACTGAAGTAATAGGAATCAGATAGGGATTCAAATTTTTCACTTCAGCATGGTGTATTTTGTATTTGATAAACTTGAAAACAGGCCTGTTGGTGATAGGTGGAAGCCATAGCTTGTGAGTGTGCTGACACTATACGTATATAATGTGAAATACAATGAAATTTGATACTTTCTAAGTGACCTAAGAGAGAAGGAACATTTCATTTATTAATTTTATCTGTAGTCTTAACTACCAGGTTCAAGGTGCAGGCACAGGTACTGCTTGGCATACTGTTCTAATGTGTCATGTGAAAGTAGTTTCTGTTTGAAAGTCCAATAGATACTCCCAGCTGACAGGGGAATTCCAGCAAGGTCAGTCAACCATTCAGACTTTAAAGGAAAACACAATTGGGAAAAGCTGCCTCTGTGTAAACATTAACCCATCTGGTTTTAAGTGGCTGCTTTTATATTGTTTGCTTTAATATAAAAAAAGAGACCTGGAACTCAGTTTTTTATATACTTTGATTAAAAATAAGTTTAAGGAACTTAGAAACTTACTCTTTCATGATTTACTGGCTCTTTTAATGCCTAGGGGGGAAAAAAAAAAAAACTTGGCTAGCCTTAAAGTACAGGAGACGAAGAGAAGCAGTTCTTTTACATTCCTCTCCCCCCCCCCCCCCGTGTGTGTGGCCTCAGCTTGCATGTGGCATGAGGACAGCTTTGCTTGGTCCCCAGTTCTGGTGATGGACACATCCATAGTATGCAGCTGGCACACAGGCACACACAGGTATGTACACATCATACTCTTACATGCGTATGTGAGCTTGAGCTCTTTGCCATCATCAGATAGTATTGATTAGACATTGACTTCCTTCTAAGTGTTTGGCTAAACCTCAGCCACAGGTGTGTAGGGTAAACAGTGAGTGGTTATATAAGCAGAGAAATAGTGGCAGGTGTGATCAGGCTAAGACTTTGGTTTTTTTCTTCTTTGAAAATGAAATACATCTTGTAATTTGCTAAGCAAAGCACAATCCATAGTTATCTTTAAAATTCTAGGTATCCCAAGTTTTAAAAGCAGTCACATATTTCAACAGGGTTGCTCTGAAAAATGTCTCAGGTTTGAATCCCAGTACTGTCTGATGGGAATAGAAAGTGAGAATGTTGTCCTGGGAATAGGAAAAATCCCTCTTGTACAGACCCTACCCCAAACCACCCCACGTTTCAGTCTCAAGGTTTGACTTAAAGCCATGTGTAAATTATGCATTCTTCACCCTGAGTTTATTTTTCCCCCATATAAGGCTGGTGTCCATTCTGGAAGGCCTTTGCATCAGGGGTGTCTCTTGGCTTCCAGCTCTGCCTTACAGGAAGTGGATCGTCTTTGGGTGTCCTTTGCACCAGGGCCTCTTTTACACCAAGTGTCTGGTGGTCTTTTCAGTGTTTGTTCTCGGTCCATGCATTCACTGGTCCTTTGTGGTTTCACATAATTCTGCTGCTTTTCCAGGCTCTTTGCTCGTTTCCCCCTGCCTTTTTTGCCACCGCTCCTGTGTGTGCTGCTTGTGTCCCTTAACTCAGTGTCCACTTCTCCCCCTCTGTTTTCTCACCTATCTTGGTCTGCCCCCTTGTCTGCACCCCTATCCCACAAGAAGTCTAGATAGATGCCTTTTGGATATTCTAGCCAAAATAGTTTTGGAGTTGCTATATACTGTGTTTGCCAAGTCATCCTCATGTCCCCAGTGCTGTACATTGTGCTTAGCATAGTGGCACCAACAGATAGTTGTTGAATTAATGAATTAAGTGCTTTTTAATGTATTGATTTATTGGAGAGGGTGGGATGCACTTGTGCCACCATCGTATGTGTGGAGTTTGGCTGACAGCTTGTAGGAGGTAGTTCTTTCCCTCTACCTCATGGGATTCTGTACCAAACTGAGGCTGCCAGCGTTGCCAGCGAGCCTGTACCTGCATAGCTGTCTCGCCAGCCTGAAGTCAATATCACCCCTCATTTCTGATTTTCCTCTCTTGTTGCTAATATGTCTGACTTTTCTCTACATTTGCAAGGATCTTTTGTCTTACCAGAAGCCCTCATCTTCTCATGGCAAGATAGCTCCCATGGCTTTTCATCTTGCCTCTTTGATTGTCATCACTCCTTCCTCCAAGCTCCCTAACCAGCCCACCCTGAGAATGTTTAAAATGTCCATTTAAAGATGGGTGAAAGGCTCGAGTTTGTAATCCCGGCATGATTATTATCTGAAATATAGATTTCATTTGTGTTTTTACAAAGTTTTTCAAGTGCTTTATTTTTCTATTTCAGAATATAATCTAGGGTGTCATGTTGCATTTAGCATATTTTCAAAGTGATAACATCAGCTTTGGTAAAAAGTTCCAAAGCACAAAAGGATGTAAATGTGTTTTCCACATTTGAAGCCTCAGCTACCACAGAGTCTGCGTGATGTTTCTGTTTTCTTAAATATCCTTCCTGAGAGGTGTGTGCAGGCATACACACCCTGACTCAACCATGCCCATGTGCATTCATGTGCATACACATAACTGTATTCAAATTCGCTTCTCTGCATGTATATTTTAAATGAGTATAGTTTGCTCATTCTCAATGAGTTACCCCAAACTGCCTTACTTTTCATTCCGTATCCCATTGATACTTGCACTCTAACTGCCTTTACCAGCTCCCTTAGGACTAGTTCTCTGCTTTTGCAAATAACGCTTCGGTGGATATCCATATACACGATGTTTGTTTACATGGGAAAGTGTGGTTTTAGTTTTTCAATTGATGAAAGAGTCTATATGTTCATCATTTGTCTCCTTGTTTTCTCAGAGTGACTCTACTATTTTAGCTCCTGTGATTTCCCCAGACTTCACCAGCACTCTTAGACAACATTTGAATTTTGCCAAATTAAAGTTAAAATACATATTAAGGTGATGTCATTCTTTTTTTATTTCTCCTGTGCTGAATGAAGTTGAGTGTCTGTTTTTCTTACTGTTATATTGATGTGAAGAGTCACCATGACCACAGCAACACTTATAAAGAGAGCATTTGACTGGGGCTGGCTTACAGTTTCAGAAGTTTACTTTAGTCCACTATCATCACCACAGGAAGCTTGGTGGTATGTGGCAGGCACATGCTGGAGAAGTAGCTGAGAGCTCCATGTCCTGATCCAGAGGAAGAGAGAGCTGCTAGGCCTGGCGTGGCTTTTGTAAACTACAGAGCCAGTGCCATTCTTCCTTCAACAAGGCCACACCTCCGAATCCTTTTCAGTAGTGCCACTCCCTGGTAACAAAGCATTCAAATCTGTGAGCCCATGGGGGCCATTCGCATTCAGACCACCACACTGTCTTCACATATTTGAAACCATCCCTATTTCTTTTCTCAATTGTAGCTATACAAGAGTTCACAGGCAGGCAGCTTGTATGTGTGGTGCCAGCACAGGAAAAGAAACAAAATAAATAAAAGGAGAGTAGAGTCAGGTACCTGATGTCAGTTTATGTGATAAAAACTTGGGATCTCCTAAATTGAATATAATATATTAAAAATCAAAACACTAGACAAAAGCAAGGGTATCTTTTTTATATCTCTATATTTTTGATATCTTTTTCTTTGTCAGACCTCTTAGAATATTCTATTCAGCCTTCAGTGTTATCCTTTAAAGGGAACATTTTGAAATTAAATTACTTGCAATATTTTTTTTTCACCCTACAAAAGTTATCGCAAATATATGGTTTAAATGACTGCAAGTTAGGAGGCTGGAAAGATGGCCCAGTGATTAAGAGAACCTGCTGCAGTTTGCCTGCTAGCTCCTGTGCCGGTGGCTCACAACCCCGTCACTGCAGTTCTAGGGCATCTGGTGCCTCTGGCTTCCGTGGGCACCTGCTTGTACATGCATATGCCTCCCCACAGACACACAGAATTTAAAAATTAAATTAATATGATAGATTAGGGTCCAGGGTGGCTGTCACTACACTAAAAAACAAGTATTTTCAGTACCTTCCGTCCTTCCTGGAGGTTCTGAAGGCCAGTCTGTTTCTTTGCTTCTAAGTCCTCCAGCATCGCTTAGACTGTGCCGCTCCTCTATCTTAGAGCCTGCAGGAGCTACTGGGGTCCTCATAGTGACTCTTTCTAATCCCTGCTGGGAAGGGTTCACAAATCATAACAGAGACTTGTGATTTGACTGGACCCATGTGAAAAATGTTGTCATTTCAAGATTCTTAAACTCAATCATACTTACAAAGTCCCTTCAGTAAAATAATCTTTACAGGTTCTGATAATGGGGACATGTCATTTTGCTCATTGCAGAGAATCAGTGGGATGTGAGGAAGTCAAGTTATATACAGAGCACCAGATTAAGAAAAGTTGAAGATGGTTCCAAAATGTACGTCCTGGAGGACAATAAGATAATGTTCCCAGAGTAGTTAGTGCATGTAGTTCATAAGAGATGGCTGCTACTGCACAGGCTCCCGGTGAGAACTGGAAACACAGTCATTCAGGAGGCAAAGCCTGCAGGCAAAGGAGGCAGCATCAGATTACAAAAACAGATGGCTTGCGTGTCAGAAAAGCACTACTAAGTCTATAAGCAATCCTGCATTATTTCACTAGAAAAAGAGGTGGGTGGAAGAAACTGATAGACTCCAGGCAGAGAAGCAAGCTTCAGGCCTCTTTCTGCTGTGATTGCACAATGTATACGCCCCAAGAAGGAGGAGAAGCTTTTATTGAAATAAGAATCAAGATACATGAAGCACCGGGGACTGTCCTCCTCCCACCCTGGAACACATGGAAAAGAAATTTGTCAGAAACCCAAGCCTGGCCATCAGGAATAGTGAGAGTTTTCGAGCTTTCCCTAGACTTCATTGCATTCGTCTCGTTACACACATTGAACTTGACCTTTGGGACGTTGCTGATCCTCAGGAGTTAAAGGAACAAGGCATCCTACCTGGCTTTTCGGGCGGTAGCTTCCGAGGCCACTGCAAACATGTATCTGTGTGAACTTGATCCAGAAACAGCCAGGCAGGGGACAAAGTTTAACCGGAGGGAATAGCCGGCTGCCGGTAGTTTCACGCTGCCTGCCCAGGCTTCAGCATGCCGTAAGTAGTTTTTGTTTTTTCAAACTTTCATGGCATTCTTATGTAGGAAAATTGCAAGAATAATTTTCATAAGATTAAATCAAGTTCTACATGGCTTTGTGGCTTCTATACTAGATCTGCTTAGGGCGTTTCAGCATTTTACAAATAGTTTTGCTCTTTAAAATGAAAAGAGAAACTATGAAAATCTGAAGCAGGAATTCTACTCAGGCTGATCCTGATGGTATAGAATGATTCTTATGTCGAGTGTCTTATGTCTAGGTTGAGTGGAAGTGTTTACAGTTGAAAACAGATGGGAACCTAGAACCTGGATTTTATACCTAGAACCTGGAGATTGAACATGTGCAAATCATGCTTAGATTTCACTCTGTATTTCTCACAATTGCTTTAATGCTTGTGTTAGCAGCTATCACTCTGGGGGTGGCTGAAGTTGAGATCTTTGTAGTCAAAGAAATGAAATGAATGAGAAAGTACTGCTTAGAATACAACAAAAAGTTGAGAACCTAGATTCAGGAGAAGCAGAATGAAGTGGCTGGAAATCGTAAGCGTCCTAAGAAACTTAGTGTGACTTGAGAGAAGTAATTTAAGGTTTTGACTTCTGTAATGATTTGTCAAGTAGAAATCCCAGTCATAATATATAAAATATGCCTCATATATGAAATTAAGGTGCTTCTACTGCCCTTGTTTTGAGATTAGGATTCTGGGAACTGCACATTGTTAGATAAACACACTGACTTCTCAAGTATTGCTACAAGGATGTTAAGGCTGCATTTGGTGTTGCAAGGGTTGGTATTTTCTGTTTTCCTTTCACTACAATGTATTAAAAAAAACAGATGCATGACAATTATATGATTTTGAATATGGACATAAAGTCTGATATAATGAATATATGAGCTAAAGGCTAGCTCTTAGCAGGTAATCCTGCCAGCCATTGATGAATGTTGAGATTGTTTATGTAGTTCAGTGGGTTTTCCCTGTCTTCATCTCAGACCTTCGGGATGAATTCTTTCCAAGCCTGCCTCTTACTGCTGTGGGCTGGGTGGGAACCAGACTGTGGGACTGGTGGGATGAGAGCTCAGGACACATTGTTCTAAGGCCCCAGGACTGTAATGAAGCAACGACTCTTCGTCCTTTACACTGTCGAAGCTCAGTAATTCTAGATTCCTGGCCTGTTAACTTCCTTGAGGCAATAAAGTTTCTTGGGTGAAGTTATTTGGTTAGTTGTTGGTTCATGAAGCAAGACTAGGGAGGGAGTAGAAGTCTTTGGAAAGAAGCCAGAGTGAGAGGTGACTCAGTCACCAGGGAAGCAGCTGTTTGCCGACTGCATTTGAAATGTTTCAGTCCTTTAGCCACCTGGAAGGCTGAAGCCACCAAAACCCTTTGGTAATTTTAAAAAGCCAAGCTCCTTTGAAAATTTTCAAATGCTCCAGTGAGTCGCCTCACAACCACGCCATGGCCGCACTCTACAAGCACAGCTGCTACAAGCCTGCTGTGCGCAGTCTGGCTCCCTGGCATGCTGCACCCCATGCCAGAGTCCGGCAGTCCCACCACCCCATCCTCAGTTTGCCCTGCTACATACATGTTTTTGCTGTTTCTTGGACACATCAAGCTTGAGCCTTAGGGCCTTTGCTGTCTGGAGAGCATTCTTCCCAGGCACTCTCTCTTTCTCTCCCTCCCTCCCCCTCCTCCACCTCCTCAGAGCAGCCTCTTCCTAAAAGCATCCTGGAGTACCCTCAGGGGCTGCCTGACTCCTACCCCTACACCACTCCTTTCCCTTTGCTTTGATTTGCTGTTTGTTTCTTTTCAATGTACAGTGGGACATTATTTTAGAAATACAAAAAAGTGTGCATATATGTGTATATATGTACAAATGTGTATATTTGGTCTTTCTCTGTAGGATGTGAATTTTAGGAGAACTTTATCTTGTTCAGTGCTGAATCACCAGTGCCCAGAGTAGTGCTGCTTGTCAGAATAGACACCTGGGAAATAGTCATATGAATGTCACCTGATATCATTAAAATTTATTCTAAACATTCATTTTTAATAACAGTAGAGTCACATGATTCTAAGACCAGCACATTAAAAGATACATGCTGAAAAGTCTTCTCGCCCCAGCCGGTTCTTGTCTGTGGTGCTCGGATTCTCATTAGAGCCCCTAAGCCTTTGCTGTTGTTTTCCCCGTGCACTCCATGAATTCTTCTGGACACACAAGGAAATGTGAAAGTACATATAGACTCTTATTTGCTTCCTTTCTCCACAAAGCACGTGCATTCTTTTCTGAACTTTTAATACATGTTGAATTTGTCTTGCTAATAATACTTAGGGAACATTTCCATTTTAAAACAGTGTTTATTACAGTGTATGTTTTGACTCTCATAGAGGTGGGCATTTGGTTGTTTCTACTATCTTCCTGTTAAAAACAGCAGTGAAGTTCTTGTGTTTCGATGCATTGTCAAAAGATGCCGTAGGCTGCGGGATTGGCCTCCAGGAAGATGGTTCTTTTGTGGCCTCCTAGCAATGTATAAAGACATTGGTTCCCATATCCCTGCCAAGTGTATTATCAGACTTTTGGAGTTTTGCCAATCTGCTCGATTAAACAAACAAACAAACAAACAAAAAACCTTCAGAATACTTTCTTGTTGTTTTTAGAGTTTATAATAGGATTTTTGTGAAGTTTTAAAAGCTTTTTAGTTGCTAATAAACAGTTAATAAATAAACAACTTAATAACAATTTTAAGTGTACAGACTAGCAATAGTGTGTCCACGTTGTGTAATAGATCTCCAAAACTTTCTTTTCTTTTTTAAGATTCACTAATTTTTAAAAAGTATGTGCGTACATATGTTTGTGTATGTGTGTGTGTGCATGTGTATACATACTCATGCATGTGTCACAATATCTGTGCAGATTAGAGGACAACTTGCAGGAGTCAGTTCTTTCTTCCACTATGTGCATCTGAAGCTCAAACTCAGGTTGTCAGACTTGCTGAGAAGTGTCCCTTCCTGCTCTGTGCTGAGCCAGAGAAGAGACAGCAGAGGAGAACGCTCAGCCTCCAGCATTCCACACACAAAAATAAACAGGTGTGGCTCATACATCTAAACAGAGCCACAAAGCTGTGGAAAGAGGATGCAGGAAAATGGCTTGAGGGAAAGGTTTCTTGAGCAGGACACGAAAAGCTAAAAGAAAGGAGCTTATGTGTTTATGGCAGGACTTCGAGGCCTTTAAGATGTTAATGTTTCTAATAAATGGGTTGCATAGAATTTCCTAGTGACCACAGAATCATTTTCTTCCATCTGGAGCCTTTGTTTGATGACCCTGCTCCGCCCTGTCACTGTCACTGTCCATCAATTTCCAGATTGTTAACCCTTTGCGTCCCCCAGACTGCGAGTTTCTGAGTTGTAGCTCCTAGCTGCTTACAAGCCTTCAGATGAGCAGTTGTTACATTCTTGGTTTCTGTGGCACCTGGTCTCTGACTCACCTCTGATCTCATCACTCTGTTCTTCCTGCTCTTGCTGACCCTGGATTGAAGTCTGCTGGAAGACAGTCTGTTTGTTTTGTTTTGTTTTATCTTGTTCTTTATATATAAGAATTAGGCAGAGGAGTAGAAAAAGAGAACAAAACCAGAGACAAATTTACCTTAACCTCATTTGGCCCATAGCTCATCTACTTCAGGGAATGAGATCTTAGAAATAAGAACAGTATGTAAGTCAGAAGGAACACAGGAAGCGAATAAGGTTTAAAGGCATGGCATAATAGCTCTAGGCAGATTTGTTATTCTTTGTTTTTCTTTTTCTTTTCTATATTGACTTTAATCTGGCAGTTTCATAATGCAGATAATGTATTCTGATTACACTCACTGTCTTATCCCCCCCCCCCATCAACTCCATTCCTATAAGTCCCTGTCCCACCTTCATGTCTTTTTGTTTTGTGAGCCATTGAGTTTAACCAGGATCGTCTGCTTGAGTGTGTGGACTGTGGTGCTGTCCACCGGCGTATGCTAGAGTTGCATGTGGGTACAACTGAAGCCAGTGACTCCCCTTTCCCCAG